CGGGTCATTGGCAACACTGGGGGATAGGGAAATTTTGACTCTATTTTGGTATTCGATGGGCATACTTTATTGAAGGATATCTCGTAGCCCAAATAAACAATTTTTGTCATCATAAAATAGGTTTTTTTTAAAATTTGATTGTGAGTCCAAACTCTTTACTAATTTCTTCAAAATAAAAATGCCTTCAGTTATGGTTGTTGATGGTACCAATAAATCATCTAAATAAGGTATTACGTTATAATGACGTAAGGGAGAGAATATTACGTTCTTAAATTGCTGAAATGCCGAAGGAGCATTACTTAATCCAAAAGGAACTCTAACATATTCGTAATGTCCTTCCGGCGTTACATAAGCCGTATATGGTATTGACTTTTCTTCCGTCGGGATCTGGTGGAACCCCGATGCTAAATCGTCCTATAGTCTACAACCATCCTTTTCTCATTATATCTTTCTTATCTACCAATAGAGTAGGACTCGAGTAGGCAGATTTACTTTCTCTAATAATGTCGGCGTCTAGCAAATCTTTTGTAATATTTTTTTCGGTAGCTCTGCAAGGCCTTCTAGAAATTGGTTTATTTGTTGTCAAGAAACCTTATGCACTTTACCTATACTATTGTTTGACTCAATCATACATGATTCAAATGAGTGTAAAAGCTCATGTAATGCATTCAGACATATTTTGGTCATGATTAATATTTTGAAAACGTTCAAATGTATCATTATTGTTTTTAAAATAAAGTAAATTATTGACTTTATAATATATAATGTCGGGGTTTTCACTAAAGTTCTTTCCTATCAAAATATCAAATTTAAATTCTAAATTATCTATGAAATAGAACTGAATTTCATTATCTACTTCATCTACCTACCTTAATATGTTCTGATACATAGGTACTATGTTACCGTCGTACCTGTTCTTAAAAATCCCCATTTTACCACATGCCATACATATTCTTGCTTTATTGTCTGTTATCAGATTTACTATGTGAAGCTTTATAATGGCTTGTGTTAGCTTGGGGTACATACGTGGAACTTTTTTGATAAGTACTAGGGCCTTGCAAATGTGGTTTGATTGTAGGTGCACTGTTTTGTGATAGATTTGGGTAAATTATAGGTTTTATTCTTAAGATAAGCTCCTAAGGTATTCAAGTTTTAATGATCCAGAAATTAGACCCGTGAATCACAATGTCTACTGTAAAAATTAAATAATTAATCAAGCAATCAAAAACTGAATTTCTGATATCTCAAATCTGTATCGATAAATTAAAAAATGAAACAAATTAACGCTACCGTAATTCGAACCCCCCTCGCTTGTCATCTTCTAAATTAAATTCTTAAAAATGATAAAAATGAGGACAGTGACATCACTAAAACCCGATCAATGAACTTTTTTCTAAGCAAGGCCAGCATGTTAATTATAAATGATTTATAGCATTCTTGAGTCCATAACGTTTTGACCTCAATAAATCACGGTATTGCGACATAATTAATTGATTTCAGGCTAAGAATGATGTAAAATTCCAAGGAAATTGCATCATTATTTTTAATAATAATTAGGTTGGCCAATGGAAGTGTCGGATTGCTAGGCAAATGACCGCCCGTTGACGATTTGGGGGAAAATATAAATACCTCGTTTTTAGTTGTTAGAGACAGTAGCCAGTTATCATTTGTCCAGTCCAGTTTGAGTAAAAGTCTACAGAACCAAATGAGTTTGCCCGGTTGAAAGGTCGCGAAGCTGCCTCGGAAGACGCGTTCGATTTGACTTAGAAAAATACGAAAAATCGGGAAAGTAATAACATTTGAAATTCGTTCAATAATTTATGTGCGTGCTAGCTAAATATTTTGAGTAATTAATTGAGTAATTTTACGTGTGTTTTATGGACAAAATGTAAGTAGGTACTCTATAGTGACAAGAATTATTTTGAATATGAATGATGAACATGACTTTGTGTGATTAAACTTTGACTTTCATTGCATAAAAACAAACTGAGTGATTTTTACTAGAAATACTTTTGAATTTATAAACTTGAGGATTGTTACTAGAAAAACTTTTGACTTTTAATTTAACAGTGGAACTTTATTGCCTTAATAGTAATAACTCGAGTGTTTTATAAATGGAACATTATTGCATAACTTTAATTGCCTTCAGATATAATGACATTTTAATTTAAATGTTTCTTGTTAAAAGGAAACTTATATTAGAATTTGTTCTGATTAAATAAACTAATTAAAAGGAAATAGGATGTTTCGAAAAGAAACTTGTTCATGAAATAGAATTGTCTTAAAATATTGGAAAGTTGTTAAAAGGAAAATTATAATAGAATTTGTTCTGATTAAATAAACTATTAAAGGGAATAGAAAATTTTGGAAAGAAACTTGAAGTTCATGAAATAGAATTGTCTTAAAATATGGGAAAGTTGTTAAAAGAATTTATTGTTCATGAAATGAATTTTGAATTAGGAATTTTATGTTTCAAGTAGAAGTCATTGTAAGATTTTATGAGAATAAATTAGTTGATAAACAAATAGGAATTTATTTTGGGTTTTCATAAGTATAGGACTTAGAGATTTTAAAGAATTATTTGATTAGGTAAAGGATAGTTATTAGGAATGATTCGGATGTAGTGAAATGAGTTAAATTATAATATATGAGAAATAGTACGAATAGGACGTTTCTTATTTAGTAGGGATATTTCAGTGGTCCGTAAAATAACAATCTAGAACGGATGTGAAGCATTGATTTTATAGAAATAAAGAAGGATGTAAAGGATTGGAAGATATTTGGCTGATGATTTTTTGGGTTTTTTTTTATGTGAAATAAAATATAATTTAGTACACCTCATTAGTTTGTTTCTCTCTTGCAAATAGACCCTCTTCCACAGATTTTTGATAGCAACTCCAAGTATATAAACACCATCAATATACCGCTCGCCATTTACCATCTAACTATTTACATAGAGTACTTGGGGCGTTTTGCTACAAAGTCAACAATTTTTGAAGCTTCTACGGCAGAGGTTATGTTATTATCATTGATTGCCCCACAAATTGAGGAGAAAAATTTGTCAGCATCAAAAAACTTTACCTTTAATTTATTAATTTCAGATAAATGTTCAAAAAAGAAATCATATAAGGAGCAACCTTTAGTGGGTTTATGATTTACTATATTCATAAAACTTTAAAACAAATGGAACTGGTCCCCAGGTGGGTCGGAAATTTCCCGACTCCCACACTTCTATGGTGTGCCTCACGGAATCTAGGAGAGGCAAAAATTCGCTCCCAACAAAGATAAAATCCCCACGAAAACGACTAGCACAGAAAAAATAACAGAAACTGATCAAAGATCAACCTAACAATAGGAACATACAATATTAGATCAATGAACACTGACGAAAAAATATATGAACTAGAGGAAGAGCTGACAAGAATAAAGTGGGACATAGTAGGCTTGTCAGAAACTCGAAGAAAAACAGAAAATCAAATAAAATTGAACTCCGGTAACCTGCTATACTGCAAAGGTAACGAAAACAACAGTAACTTTGCAGTAGGATTTAATACAAATAAAGCGATAAGTAAACACGTCCAACTATCAAGGGAGTCTCAGATTGGGCTACTCGATTTTCACTTGAACTTACGACGACGAGAGCATCGAAATATTCTATGAAGATATCTCAAAGGCTATGTATGGAAGAACATATAACTCGCTTTACTCTAGCAATTGGAGATTTCAATGCCAAACTTGGTAAGAAGCTGAATAAAGAAGAGACAAAAATCGGGAACTACAAGTACGGTGAGAGGAACAATAGGGGCACTACCTTGATGAACTGTCTAGAAGAAATACATCTATATGCAATGAACTCATTCTATAAGAAAAAACCGCAAAGAAAGTGAGCATGAGTTACATACGGCTCTACATTGTATATTTTATTTAATCAGCATATTATTTTTCATTAGCTTGCATTCTGTATTCTCTTTTTGTAGCTTCTACTTGCCGAGCGTCCTCAGTCAGAGCTTTGCATTCACTTTCGACGCTTCGAATTTTAATAAATTTTAAACGTAAAAATATTGTAATAGTTTTAAGTGAAATTTATTTGTTTTTAAAAAATCGTACATCGCGTACTGATTTGTAACTCATGGCTCAGCCCTAATGGAACAACGAGAAATGAAATTGACTACATACTGACCACTGAAAAATATATTATTAAAGATGTAACAGTCCCGAACAGTTTCACCACAGGCAGCGATTACAGAATGGTCAAAGCAAAAATACGTATCGATGACAACTTTGAAATGAAAAGAAAAACTAATGGAAACAAGGGACAACTAGACATGACCAAACTTGCACAAAATAAAACCATATACAAAGAGAGACTGAAGGAACAACTGACACAGAACTTGAACTAGATAAAATATACGATACATTAGCGAAAACCATGGTTGATAAGCAAATGGAGGTGTGTAACTTACAGTTTCTCGGCTTCGTTTTACCTTGTAGGGTTTTGTCTTTCGATGGTATTCATTGTCACTGGATGAAGAACTGTGTTCTGAAGACGAAGGCGATCGTTGGCTTCGTGATTTCTTGCGGTGAAGGCCCATATTTGGCAATTCCAGCACTAGTTTCAACAGACTATATTAAAGAGGATACAAATGGAAAACAATTATAAAGAGTACAACAATATTACACCGAAGTCTCACCGAGGTTTTCGACCACTTCTGAATGTAGGCGGACCGGGCGAGTTCAAGAACACGACGAGCACAATTCAATACATTTATTTATTAATTAGGAATATTACATAATTATTATTAATTAATCAACTATTAAATGACAATTAATATTACAATTCGTTCGTAAGAAAAGCCACGAACAGACTGAGTAATATAGAAATCAACAAAGAATATTTTGACTCAACCTAAAAACTAATTTATTCTAGTATAAACACTTTTTAATTTAAATGACAACGTAACAGCAGGATGATTCACGGCCCTTCTCTTGGTGCAAGCTATTCCGTCCGCACTTATATCTAGCTTCTATTATTTTTTAAGACTTCTATGACTCATTTTTATATATAGTATACTTAGTATATAGTATAGTAGGTATTCCAAGTCCAAGCAGAAAGATCCCAAAAAAATTTAAAACCGAAAACGTCGAAACAATCATCCCAATTAGCCGCTGTCGTTGTATATACAATATTATCAAAAAGCGAATCGGGGAGAAAAGAAAGAAAAAAAAAAAGGAAGAAATAGGGAGATATCGGTGGGGGCGAACGCAAGGTGAACCCTGAGGGAATCAGGGGGGAAAGAGAAATAAAAGAAAGTGTTTGTTTGCGTGCGCGGGCGCGCGTCCCGGTGGTGGCCGGGCAAGCGTCGCGGCGCACTTCATCCTGCCAGTGTAGCCTCCTGGACCCTCCAACAGGGACTCCTGCCTGCTGCCGATTCCTCCTTTTGTAGCTAAGCTGCTGCTGCTCTGCTACTGCTGCTGTTGCTGTCCGTCTCCTCGTTGTCCTGGTGGACTAAATTTTATTGCGGATATTTTTGTCGCGGACTTTTCTTTTTTTTTTTTTAACGCCGGCGTTTACAGGTTTCGTGAGCGGGAGTTTTGGTGAATCCGGAGAAGAATTTTTTAAGGTGAGTATTGGTGATAAATCTTGAAGAACATAGAGTTTAAGAGATGTACGTTTCAATATTATTTTTCTAGAGAATCTATAAAGCGACAACAAATACAATGACTCACCTATTTTCATAAATTTGTATAAGAGAAAATATTTGATAATAATACCTGGACTCTGTTGAAACAATCCTAAAAACAGATTCCTATTGTCCTGATTGCCAAAGGCCTAAGGCTTATCACTTTGAATGATTTAATAAAGGCTCTCTATAGAAGAAGTTCAGACAATTATAATTTTGAAAATCTAATAAACCAGAAATAAATTAAAAAAGAAAAATAACAGAATGATGTTAAGTTTCATTTTTGGTTTCATATTTGAACTCATCGCATTTTCTTAAGTTTGTAAGTAAGAGCTATTTTGGATTTTCTCTAAATATAGTCAAATATTTGCTCCTGTTCGGTCCTCGGTGGACGACCCTGTACATTTCCATTCCAAAAACACCAAAAATAAAATATTTAGTAGGATATAGTAGAAGTCAGGTACCTACTGAAGGAGAATAACTAAAGTCTGTGCATCCAGAGGTTACCCATAAGTCGTAAAACACAGGGCTGACAATAAATTAGTACAAGACCAAGTGAACGAATTTACATTTAGTTCCATTAAGTCCTTTTTCTACTGACGTTTCATAATAGCAACTTTTCAATTGTCATTTTAGTTTTAAAACGACATTCTTTTAAGCACTGAATGCGTAAAAGTGACTTTTGAATGTGTAAAAGTGACTTTTGAATGCGTAAAAGTGACTTTTGAGTGCGTGAAAGTAATTTTTAAGCACTAGTGCTTAAAAGTGTCATTCATTATTCAGAAATAAAAAATACACTCAACACAGATTTGAAGTTTGTTTTGTATTTATTATGAATATTAAAAATGTAATTATTGAATTGAACGTTTGGGTTATAGACCCTGAGATAGGTAGGGCCTGTTTAGTGGAGTAATTTTTTTTTGTCTGGCATTTTGAGGGATGAATGTGGCTAGTTAGCTGATGAGAATTAAAGTGGTTTTAATGCCGGCCCCCTGTTCGAAATGTCCACAGAAGGTTTCGCTGGAAAACTCGACTTCGAACTGTGATTACCGTCTGGTGATTTTTCAGCGTTATTTTAGCAACAAAACCTTCCATTCTCTCGATTACCAGACAAAAAGTAAATGCGGAAGGTTCTTTTCTCTTCTCTTGGAAGTTGACACTCATCCCCACTTTTTCAGCTATTGAAAAGCATCTGGAATTTTTTATGGGTTTTTTTTTAAAAAAATTCTTCGTGTAAATTTTTTTCTTCTGCAAATTTTCGAACGGGAGGCAGGCATTAAAATCACCCATATTCTCATCAGCTTAGTAGCTACATTCAGCCCTCAAAATGCCAGACAAAAAAAATGACTCCACTAAACAGCCCCTATCTCACAGTCTATTACTCAAACTTTGCCTCGTTGGACAATTTTCACGTCGCGTGCCTAAAAGACGCTCATTTCGTAACTTATTGTATAAATAGCTATTTTCACACTAATTTTAAAGTTTTTGAGTTACCTACGTCGAAAATAAATGTCTATAGAGTACTTGCCTATTTAAAATTTAGTTCATAAAAAAATATTACTTGACAAAATTATATTTTAAAGTAACTTTAAAAAATGGTACACCAGCACCTGAATTAATATAGGGCATGTCAAAGTTTCTGAATAAGATTTATACCGAAATTCCAGTGCTACCCAAACAAAACGAAATGAAAATTTAAGAAAACGTGCTTTAAATACAGGTATAGGTTAATAATTTTATGTCATACCAATACATTATTGTGTTTTTATACCTTAGATACCATCTACATAATTCATTACTTTATGCCCGTGCGGGCATAAAGTACACATTATGGCCCGCGCGGGTATAAAGGCGCAAAAAACAGTTTTCAATTAACTTATTCTTTATTAACAAAATATAGGTGCACACTGATGACAATTTGCGAAGTGACACTTTTTTTACAGGTATTTATTATTCACAACCAACTGGTATGACATAAAAGTTTGTATGCACCACGGGTACTAATAGATAAATATCCCCTCGGGCGACTTACGAACCCTCGGGCCAGAGGCCCTCGGCTTTGTAAGACTGTCGCCCTCAGGGCAAAATCATTTACTCAGTACCCTTGATACATAAATAACTATTAAATAATTATTGCTTGCTTAATTATATTATTATTATTTCCTAGTTTCTAGGTGTAGAAGTTGGTGCCTAAATTATACCTAAAATATTAGCACTTGATGATTTTCCAGGTAGCAATTAGCAATAATTAATGCATAGTTTACAATAAGTAGGGCGGTACTTACTTACTTTTTAAAGGGTTGGTTATTTAGATACAGCTGACTAAATATTCATAGAAGTGCACCAGCCAGCTTAGTTGTGTTTTGTGTGATTATAAGAATATTGTGTGATTGAAAATGGAAACCAAAAAAGTGCATTTATTAGGACCAGAAGAACGAAAATTGGTGATATTTGTGGAACAATATTTTACTGCAGAAAAAGAAAACGGTGGTTTATTGAAGTCCGTCCTAGCAGTTCAAGATCGTACTGCTGAAGCGTGTGGAATTTCCAGAAAAACATTATACAACATCCACAGTTTGGAAAAAGAAGGCAAAATTGACCAGAAGGTAAAGAGGAGTAGATTAAGTTCTAAAAGTTACGACTTACCAGACCATGTAAAATACGATATTAAGCAGGAAAGGATAACGCACACCTAACATGGGATTTTTGGGCTCTATGGATTTTGCTAATTTTTTGATATATTGTAGAGGATTTAATTCTTAACAACTTTTAAATAGGACGAAATCTTGTAGGTATTACGGTCTTTGAGATATGAGCGTTGAAAGATGAACTTTTTTGCGACTTTTTGTGTGGAGAGTATACGAAATACTGGTGCTACTGGTGTTTATCAGTCAAAATATTGACAGTTTTACATATTTTACATCACAACAAATTAATGTCAACAATTGTCAACATCGGCTAAGGCAGTGCCGGCCCGAGGCTACTTTTAGTATGGAGCGAGATCTGACTTTGGCGCCCCTAGTGTAAATGTGATTCGCATACGCGAGTATGGATTTTGACCATTATCTAATTTAATAGGTTTGTTCCAACCCGTCAAAAAAACGTCCCAGAACGGTTTAGGAACCACTCTGTATACGAATTTCAGTTTCTATGCAAACATTTTAGGTTTTGCGCAGAATCCTGACGATCATATTACGGTTTCCTGCTGGGTTGGAACAAATAAAAGCTCAATGTCTCTATTTATCTTACCAATTGAAAATTCAAAACATTTCTGTTCGTTGGTACAAAGTTCTCTTATTTACTAACATTTAGTTCACATTCTTTGGTGGGATCAATCAATAATCCACTTTGGTAATATCACTTATAACACTTATGGCCATTTCCACCAACTAGTTATTTTCGGGAAGCCTTAAACGATAAGTATTCCCTAGACTGACAGTTTTCCATGGAGAAATGTCAGTTTAGGAAATACTTATCGTAATAGTAGAGTTCTCGGGCTGTTCAAATTTCAAATACCGTAACGCTGACAACGCTTGACAAGTATGACAGTTCTTACGGTATAAGCGTTAGCGGAGCCCGCTATTTAACGGAACTTACCGGATGCCTGATGCCTTACCGTAACGCTATGCTCTGTCAAAACTAGTTTACGCTTCATTTATGTCTGCAAAAACAGCAACGTCTAATAATTCCTCCATAAAAAACACCAAGGGAAAATTATTCAAGCTCAGGAATCTTCAGAATAAATAAAAGTTAGAAAACAAGCAAAAAAAGTGGGGTTAGATTACTCAACTCAGCTGTCAAAATGTAAACAGAATAAGGGATTAGAGGATTTATGTTATTTCGTGCTCGAGATGAACTATAAAATACCATGTAAAATACCGTATTGTTAGCGGTAGGTAACGTATTAGCGTAGCATCGGACGCACGAGAACTTTCTAGTTTGTGGAAACGGCCATTAGGGCCGGTTTATTCACCTTCTGATAAACTGTCAGGTATGCAATCTGACCGACCGATAAAAATGCAATCTCTAATTCCATTGGTTGTTTATCTGAATATAAATAAACCGGGCCTAATAAATATAAAAATCGAACAAACAAAATACGAAATTTTTTTGTGTTGGCATACTTTTGCATTAGCAAATTTATTTATGATCTCCTCATATGACAATATCTGAGCTATAACATTTTCAATGGACAGCAGGGCTAGATCTGAAGGTTTCTCTTCTGCTAGAGTTGACCGCTAAGGTAAGTTTTAATTAACTTAAGCTTACTAAAGCTCCGTTCACCTTTCGGCACTGTAACAGAGGAATGGTAACAAAAACACGGAGAGCTGTCCAGATATAAGGAAACGTATCTTGCCAATTATTAAATGCTAACGCCTGAAGGACTGCTTTCGGGTGACTGTTATCACTATCCGAAATATCGTGATCAAATGATCGGGTAAGGGCGCCACCACACCCACGATCCGTGCGCGTCTCAAAAAAACGTCAGGACAGGTTATTCTCATACTAAGTAAGCACAAGCTTGCTCACAAGCAGAGAAGCATGATATCGAAAAGCAGAGACAGAATTCAAAGCGAAAATATACTTTTCCCCTTTTTTTGTATTACCAAGGAACGAGTCGAAGGCGCCCCCCGAGGTCTGGCGCCTGGAGCGCTCGCTCAGTTCGCCTTATGGTAGGGCCGGCCCTGGGCTAAGGCCGGGACCGCACTGGGACCAATGTTGGCGCCGCAGTGCTGTCCCGGCCTTAGCCTATGTTGACATTTATTACTGACGTAAAATATGTGAACCTGTCAATATTTTGACTGACAAACACCAATATTTCGTATACTCTCCACACAAAAAGTGGCAGAAAGTTCATCTTTCAACGCTCATATTTCAAAGACCGTAATACCTACAAGATTTCAACCTATTTAAAAGTTGTTAAGAATTAAATCCTCTAC